TAATCCTTTTTCTAACTATTATTGAACATGAAAATGTATTTGCCTATGGTCAGGCTTCTGGCACTTTCCACATTTTCAACAATTCCTGACCCTGCCAGTGATATCTTAGAAAGTCACTTGCACATTCTCTTTTTAGAGAGAACTTATAAAATGATCCATCTAGCCCAGAGATGGGTCTTCATTTAGAGTATCTGGTTGCTTTGATGTCATCTCTTTGCTCATACTAGTAAGAGAACACTGAAACTTACATTTGTTTAATTCTTTTCATGTCTAATTTCGGTTCCCTAGGCAAAGAATAATTAAATAAGAGTTATGAATTCTCCATTTATTTTTCTATCCATTGGCTCGGACCAGTTTCTTCAGGTTGTAGACCACTGGCCTGTCCTTCATCATCACCTGGATTCAGGCATAACTTTCTAGCTCCTCATTGCTGTTCAGTTCTGTTTCCTCTTGTTTTGTTTTTGTGACACACATTTGCTTATTTGGGGCATTATCTCCTGGATGCTCTCCTTGTACATTCGCAGCATACTTTTGTCTCTGTTTCTATGTCTTTCTTTCCAGGGCTCTTGTTAAAGAGAATATTCAAATTTCTGACCATGTTTAACACTGACCTTTGAATATTCTTCCTTTGTTATTTTCGATGACAGTGTGGCTTTGAGAAAGACTGAGCACCCATTATATTTCTTTTAAGTGGCTGCACAGAAAGAAGCATTTTGCTCTGTTCCTTAAATGACCAAACTTGGTGTGACCAAGCCTCAGAGCATGTTCTTGTCATTATTTCATTTGTATAATAAAAACATGTTTTGGGGAAAACAGTTGGACATCATGAGAGTACTGTTTTTCCCCCCCAGTCTGGACTGGTTATACCTGAATGTACAAGGATCTGCTGTGTGTTAGATGTGAAGCCAGAAGCCACCCTGGGCCGTGTGGGTCCATGCTGGCTAGATATAGTTGGGACTATAGATATAGTCCCCAGTAGCCCTGGGCCGGGTCCTTTCTAAGTGGCGCCGGGTTCTCCAGCAGGGAGCACTTCGCTGGCAGTCCAGACGCACTCTGTCTTCAACACAGCTTTTACAAGGTAAGGATTGTGGATGTGCCATTTTTATTTGAATAATGAACTGAATTTAGGTTTAAATTGACTATCCTGATTTAAAATCACAAAATAAAAATATTTAAATAGAAGATTCATCTTGTAATCCCTCATAAAATTCTTTTTGGTCTGTGATACAGCGTAATTGCAAGAAACTTGTAATTCAGTGTCCGGATGATTCTAGAGTTTATTAATGTGAGGAAAAGTCAATATTAGGTGAAAGAAGGGCTTTTAAGAAGCCCATTATAACCACTTATAATGGAAAATGTAGTTTGTAACAGAGATTGATTTTACGAGCTCTGGTTCTTCACTGAAGCGTGAAGCCTCCTGTGTGTTGCTCTGTGCAAATCATTTTTATAGGATTCTTTGCTGATTTCTTTCTGGCTGATCTGTGGACGTGTCTGGAGCTGAAAGGGCTATATCTGTCTTGTGTAAGGAATACAAAAATTCCCAGAAATTTAAAAGAAACCAAAGATTAGCATATTCCTAAGTTATCGAATAGAGTATATTCAGAAGGAAAAAGCTTTGCCAGTTCTAAAGAGACGCGGTGGTACCAGATGTCGGTTCTTGGATCATTTAATCCTTTTCTCTTGTGCTTATTTTTGTCAATATTTTTTCACTGGAACTAAATATCTGGCTCAGCTTGCAATATAAAAATTTTCCAATTAGATTGTTATGACTTCATTTTTATTCATGAGGGGAAATCTAATAAAGAGAGATCATCGCATATGGTGGTGTGCAGGAGAAGAACTTTAAAATAAACCACCTGGCCCAGGGCAGGGCCGAGAGCTTGCATCCTGGTCCTTTCTGGAGTCTGAGAGAGGCTGGGTTGAGTCTGCCTCCCCTGGGAATCCTTGGCTTTCTATCAGTTTGCCGTATGATTGACCTTACCCCAAGTCCAGATTAGCTTTTATGTGGATTGTCTTCTTAGTTCTAGGTTAGGTATTAAGGGGAATATAAGGATAATGTGAAACATGGTTTTTAACTTGAAGGAACTTTCTGTTTGTTTATGGCTGGGGAGGCTAAGTGAGGTGGTTTGTCCATTGTCACCTAGTGTATGATGAAGTGTCTCCAGTAAATGAGAGGTGGCATGGGAAATTAGCTCCTAAGGAAGAGAGAGAGCAGTGCACTCAAGTGGGCAGGGAAGGCTTCAAAGCAGAATTGGACCTTGTGCCAGATCTGGTTAGGAGGAGGACTGTAGAAGAGTTACTTCAAGCTTGGGGAAAGAGTCAAAGATGTCCTCTCAGGGGTCTCAATGACCCGGTCCCCCCAGTACCCAGTGCATTTGTCTTCGCCTGCAGGATTTATGCTGAGGTACGGGTTGCTAGCGACTCCAGGCTTTTTTTTTCCTAGCTCATACCCAAATGCTTCCTGGCTGCACAGTTATTGAAAGGCATTGAAGTGTACACAAAACTGGATTTGTGCGGGTTCAACTGCTCCTGTTGAACTAGGGAAACCAGTACCTCTCTGCCGCATTTTAATGGCTACCCAGCTCACAGTGTGGTTGTAAGGATCAAAAGAGATACGGTGGGTAATGTGTTGAATGACTGACAGTAGGCAGGCATCGTGATTTGTGTGCTTTTCCTACCTGGTAGCCACTCTTTCCTTCTTGCCTGCATGTGTCTGGCCCTTCTCACGTCCGTACCTGTGTACAGGTGTGCCCTCTTTCTGGAACGCTGTCTCTCTCCTCTTTTCCTATTAAAATCCTAACTGCCTGAAAGATTTGCTTTAACACCTCAGTCAGAATTGAACTTTGTGTATTTTGGATGCTTAGTAGTATTCTTTGGGACAGTTCCAAGTTCCTAACACTACATTTCAGTTATTTGCACGTCTTGTTTTCCCTGCATGTTGGTAAACTCAAGGGTGGAGCTCGTGTCAGGGACGTGGGGATGAAGCAGTCAAGAGTTCAGACTCTGTTCCCCACACAGGGCCTTCTGCATAGTTGTCATGGTTGCAGGGTGTTCTCATCATCATCATATTGTTTTTCCCCCTTAACGACAACCATATGCTGACGATTTCTAAATCTTTCTCTTTAGCCCAGACTGCACTCCTGCGCTTTGCATGTAATCACGTCTGGTGAATGTCTCCAGCTGAGCGTCCCACGTGCACCTCAGAGACAACGTGTCTAAAGCTGATCTTTCACCTGTTTCTGCTCCCCCGTCCCCCACACAGTCTGACCCTTTCCTGTAGACTCTATTCCCTGTCCTTGAAGCAGCAACTCGGACATCCTTCATTTCTTCCTTCCCCATGTTGTTTATGTTGAACGAGTCACCAGATCTCAACTATTCTGCCTCCTAAACACTTCTTGAGTTTAGTCCCCCTCTTTCTGTGTTAAATACTGCTACCTTCTCTCTGAAGGAGTTTTACTGTAATTTCTTTCTAAAGATCTACTTCACCCTATGCCTAGTTTTTTTAAGCCCATCTTCTACAATCTGCATATCAGTTTCTCGTGTAAAATCCTATGGTGGCTTCCTTTCATATGCATGGGAGATCTTTATTGTCATGAACCAGCTCTGCCGAGTTTGGTAATGTCTGCTGCGAGTGCTGCCTTTGGGTTCAGTGTGATCGTTTGGTGATGTCTGGCAGGTGTGGTGGAGGGGGTGGCCGCACATAATACATAGCTAGGATGAAGTTCAAGCTCTTTCGTGTGACATGAAAGGTCTTCCTTGCCCCTAATCCTAACCACATCTTCATTCCCAACTCCCACCATTGCCCTGCTTCACATTTAATCTTGGCGTAGCAGGGAAATTCTGGGTTGTGTCTTCTTGCTTTTGTTCAAGTTGACCATGTTCCCCTGTAGAGGAAACCTCTGCTCATCCTGTCAGATCTCGGTGTGTGTGGGGAGTGCATGGGGTGGCCTTGACCGAGGCTAAGAGTTCTTCCTCTAGGCTCTCAAGGCATCTGCACCCATTGACTCGAAATCCTGGGTGTTTCCCTCACAAGACAGTAAATTCCATTAGGACAAACATCACATCTTATTTCTCTTTGGTCTCTGTTACTCGTCACAGTACCTTCCATGTAATATGTATTGCGAGTTGTATATTGAACTGAAATGAATCCGTAAACAATTTGCTGAACATTCTTTGCTTTTACTTTGATACCCCTTCCGGGTTGAAAGATGGATTTTTAGGAAAGGTAAGGACTCTGCAGAAAATTTAGAACAGGGAATCAGTTAGTAAGTAGACGTTGGAAAAGTTTGAGCAGGGGTGTGGTGATGAAAGTGGTGTTTAAGGAAGATTGATCTGGAGATAACCTTCTATTACAGGTTTAAAGTGCTGCGGGGGAACACAGGCGAGGGGGCAGGGGCAGGGGCGGGGGCGGGGGCGGGGGCAGGGGCAGGGGCAGGGGCGAGCACAGGAGGCCCTTCGGACCGGCTTCCAGAGGCCGTGTGCTTCCCGTCCACGTTCGCGCAGGCAGGCTGGCCTCACGGGCATGTTTCGAAAAACAAAGTGGTGTTATTTCTATTTTTAAAGGAAGAACATTCCTTTAAAACACCTAACTGACCCCCTTTTCATAACATGTAAGAAACATATTCATTGTTAATTACTGAAAAAGTGATGATGAGTTTAAATTGTAAAAATAACAGTTAGCTTCTGCATAGCTGGTCTAAACTCTTCCAAAGTCAGTGGTTTTCATTTTAGCACATTTTGAAATAATTGTTAATTGTGAGGAAAATACTCCAGTTTCGTTTTCTAGCTGCCTTTTGTTTTCCAGTGTAACACCTCCAGTCTAATTCCTAGTGTTTTCGTCCCCCCATGGGTTTCTGTACTTTAAGTGACTTGTGGCCGTGCTGACTCGTTGAAGCTTACCTTCCATTTGTTGTGGGCCATGTCACTCCACTGTATTATTCTTAATACCGGCCATTGTAAGTGTCTCAATTTACAGTTGCTTTGTTGTTTTTTTATTACAGGGTTATGACTCATTGATTAAAAAGAAGAACTTTTCCAACTACTTTGCACTTTTGACTGCATATTATGGATAACAAGGAAGAGAAGAAGGAACGAAAACAAAGTTATTTTGCTCGGTAAGCATTTGCCTTGCTAAATTATGTCAGTACTTAAAAAAATTGAAGGGATTTTATCCTATTACTTGTCATTTTCTGTCTTGTGACTGTTCATAAACAGAGCAGGTGGCCAGTAGAAGTTAAATATACTTTGTTTCCTCCTCTGTAGCTTCACTGATTGAGCTGTAATTAAAAGTCTATAACATAATTAAAGTCTAATACCTTGTGGGGTATCTATATTTTAAAAGTTTTTGGTTGAGGAGTGAAAAAGGTGAAGGATTTAAGCAAAGGCAAATACTCTTAGACACAGAAAAATAAGAAAGTAAACAAAGAAATAAATAAACAAAAAGTATTTTCTGTAGGAGTTTGGAATGGATGAAATTCTATCTTTGGTTTCCATGTCATTTTTTACATTCAATACTTCTACATTTTATTGTTGTTCAAGTGCAGTTTTCTGCCTTTCCCCCCTCCCCCCACCCCAGGCCTCCCCACCTCCCTCCCATTTTCATCCCCCCCTTTTTTCGTCCATGTGTCCTTTATAGTTGTTCCGGAAACCCTTTACCCTTTTCTCCCCACTACCCCCTCCCCTCTCTGGTCACTGTTGGTTCTTAATTTCAGTGTCTCTGGTTCTATTTAGCTTGTTTGTTTTGTCCGTGTCATTTTTAAAGCTTGAACTCCTCCAACATACATGCATTCGTTGGTGTCTGGTACGAGTCCTCTAGTGTATGATCAGTTATTGTGTACAGATTTAAACACCCACGTGGAAACCACTCACTAAACACAATAAAATGTATGATATGCTAAAACATTTCTACATCATTTTCATCATTGGAATGTTTCCAAACTCAGAGTGAGAACATAAGCTTAAAATGATCATTATGGTCTCCTCAACTGAAATGCTTCTTAGGAACAGAATTCAGGCTCACCACATCCCAAAACCCAATTTACTCTCATTAAAGCGGCATTTCCTGTTTTCCAAATATAAGCCTTGGAAACCGACAATCAAAGCTCTTTGTTCATGTTTTTATCTAGAAATTAAGCTAGGTTTTAGGTTGTTAATGGGAAAAGGAAGGATATGAATATTTAAGGAACTACTTATTATGTGCCAAGTACTTACTATTTTATTTATCCTCACAATAAACCTGTATCTTAGGTTTTCTCCCTATTTTACCAATGAGGTAGTTAAGACTCAGAAATTATTTTGTCTGTTTCATGCCATGTAAGAGTCAGTATTCAAACATGGGCTTGTTTCCAAAGGGTGTGTTCCAATTAGTAATAGTGGACCCTTAATGAGAGGTTTTGGAAAGCAAGAGTAATGTTTTTCACTATTAAGATTATAAAAAGAAAAAAGATTGTTTGGGCAAGGAAGACATCAGGCATCAAATGGGTGAAACATTAGAAAGATAGGACACCTAGAATAAATGAAAACTGTGTAGTGATTTTTAAACACACTTTATTTTGAGATAATTATAGATTTGCACGTAGTTCTAAGAAATAGTACAGAGATCCTATATTCTCACAATGGTGAGACCTTATATAACTGTCCGATATTACAGCCACAAAATTGACATTGATACAATCCACCAACCTTATCAGATTTCACAAACTCTCATTTGTGTATGTTTGTGTTTTATGTGTATTTATTTTGTGCAGTTTTATCACAGGGGTAGGTTTGTGTGGCCACCATCACAATCAAGTTGCGGAACAATTCTGTCGAAAAGATCCCATGTGCCTCGTAGCCATAGTCACCTCCTTTCCGCTGTCCTCCACCCTCACAATCACTAGTCTGTTTTCCATCTCTGTAATTGGAGATTTCAAAAATATTACATAAGTGGAATCCTATAGTATATAACCTTTTGAGATTAGATTTTTCTCAGTAAAATTCTTGTGATGTCTCAGTTCGTTCAGACAGCTGTAGCAAAATATCACAGACTGAGTGGCTTATAACCAACAGAAATTTACTTCTCATAGTTCTGGAGGCTGCATAGTTCTGATTGTGTTCTTGATGGCAAGTCTAACAACCCAGCATGGTCGGGTTCTGTGTCTGGTAGGAGCCTGCTTCTTGGTTCATTTCAGGCCACCCTCTTGCTGTAACCACGCCTGGTGGAAGGGGCAGGGAGCGTTCTTGGGACTTTTCTTACAAGAGAACTGATCCCACCATGAGCGGTCCACCCTCATGACCTAATCACCCCCAAAGTCCCACCTCCCGGTGCTGTCACCTTGCGTGTTAAGTTTCAACACATGAATTTTGCGGGAATACACATATATTAATAGTTTGTTGCTTTTTATTGCTGGGTAGTATTCTATGGTTAGAATGTATCGCAATTTTTCAGTTCACCCATTGAAGCACGTTTGGGTTCTTTCCAGTTTGGGACAGTAACAAACAATGCTGAGAGATGAGTGCATCAGTTTTCCTATTTGAAATAGTTCTATTTAAAGTAACATGTTTGTGCGCTTCTCTAAGGATACAGCCTCAGTAAAAGAGGAAGATGTGGTCTTGTTCATTTTTTTGTTTTAAAATGTCTGGGATATTAAAAGATATATTCCAAAAGGAAGGAGAAGTAAGGCCCCTTTAGATTATATATATTGTCTATATATACCTGAGCCTTATCTAATAAAGAAATAACAAATAAAGCTCAGAGGATCATTTGTGTACAAGATTTTGTGTGAATGTAAAAGTTTAATTTTACCAGATGAATGTCCAGGAGTCAAATTGCTAGGTCAAATGGTAGGTGTACGCTTAATTTTGTAAGAAACTACCATAGTCTTTTCCAGAGGGGCTGTAGCATTTTACATTCCTTCTCATCAGCAATGTATACATGACCAAGTTTCTCTGAGTCCTTACCACCATTTGGTATTACCATTCTGTTTTTATGTTAGCCATTCTGATAGGTGTGCAGCAATATCTTATTGTGGCTAAATGAACATTTCTTTAATAACTAGAGAAGTTGAACGTCTTTTCATGTGCTGATTAGCCATCTATCCATCTTCTTCAGTGCAGTGTCTTTTCCTGTGTTCTAATGGGATTTTTGTTGTTGTTGTTGTTGAGGTTTGAGAGTTTTTTCTGCATTCCGAGTAGTGCTGGTCCTTTGATATGTGGTTTGCCAATATTTTCTCCCAGTCTATAGCTTTCCTTTTTATCCTCTTTTTTTAAAGTTTTTAAAAAATATGTATATTGTATTTATATTTATTTTTAGAGATAGGGGAAGGGGAGGAGAAAGAGTGGGAGAGAAACATCATTGTGTGGTTGCCTCTCATGTGTCCCCCACTGGGGACCTGGCCCACAACCCAGACATGTGCCCTGACTGGGAATTAAACTGGCGATCCTTTGCTTCACAGGCCCGTGTTCAATCCACTGAGCTGTAGCTCAGGCCCTGCAGCCAGGGCCCCTTTTTATTCTCTTAATACTGCCTTTAGCAGAGCAAGAGTTTTAAATTCTGATGCTATTTAATTTATAAGTTTTTTCTTTTATGGATTGTGTTCTTGATAGCAAGTTTAACAACTCTTTGCCCAGCCCTGGATTTTTTTTCATAAAAGTTTTATAGTATTATTTTATATTGAAGTCAATAACCAGCTTGAGTTGTTTTTTTATATAAGATGTGAGTTAGTGTAAGAATTTTTGTTTGGCTTAATGGATACCCTAAGTAGTGATTTCAAAAGCGGTAGTGACTTAGTCTGAATCCACATGGAGTCCCGTAGTAAGGGTGACCTTTGTTTGGGTCATGAACAACTTGTGAAAGTCAACAACCACTTCTTGTCCCTAAGGTGGAGAGGTGGGGGAGTCCTTGAAACTGAGAAGGCAAGATCAAACTGTTCTGGAAAAACAGCATATTTTTTCAACTCACAAATGTCAAAGTTAACCGTCATGCTTGCTTTGATCTCTTGTGAAAAGTATTCTAACAATGAAGAGCAAAGCATATCAAAAATGAAGTGTGACCTTAGAAGCACAGAGATAGCAGGACATGGGCAAAAATCAGTGGTCAGTCAACATGATTATTTGCCAGGAATTGAGAGAGAGGAAAACAGACAGACAAACCTATATTTTATAATGCAGTGGCAGCCAAAAATGGCCAACCAATTCAAAGCAAACAGCAAACAACAACAAAAACCTTTCTTGCAAGAAAAGGCAGCCAAAGTCCTAAGTCTTTTCAAATGCCTCCTGACGAAACCGTGGTATTCCCTACAATCAGTTACTGATCACACCTACTTGAAAGCCGGTTTACGACAACATAGGGCGGATTTCTCTGGAGCAGTGTGTTTAAGGGCAGACCCACCAAGATCTCCGGAGAAGAATGTGGAGTCAAGCAAAGGGCAAGGCCATAGTGATGCAATCGCAGATCTCTAGGAGTGTGCAGAGATCAAAAGGAGGTTTCTCCTGGCTTCTGCCTGCTGCCACACTGCGTACCTGAAACCCTGACCGTTGCTCTTAAACTCTCTTCACCCCTCCTGCATCCCTTTTTCCTTAAGAGTAGTTACTGGGAAGGAGCCTGTTTCCTTGGGGCACTATTTTACCTGTGTTTTCATCCACGTCGTGTGGTTTTGTGCTCAGGAAATAATCTTTTACCCTCCTCCTTTATTGACACTTCTCTTTCTGTCTCTGAATTCAACATCAAAGGAAGGTAAGTTTAAAGGACCCTATTTTAATAATTTTATATTGAAATTAGCCATTTGAAGATCATGTGATACTTCCTTTTTTATAATTTATCTTGAAATATGCCCTTGTAACTCTAAATGGAAAGTACATTTATTCTGGATAAACCCTAAGGAGTTGGAGGCTCTCCTGGCCTGGCCCACCTGCTTTTCAGGATTTTAGTGTTGCTTTGTACCAGTAGTTTATTCCAGACTGAGCAATTCATGAGACATTCTTCCATGCATTTCCAAAGAATTCATACATACAACATTACTTTGTTATATGCGTGTGTATCAATTCCTTGATACTTGGTAGGTCTTGAAACCAAATGAAAAACTGAGTTATTGAAGCAAGTCATGTGTGCCCCCTGGACTGTCCCCCCGAGTGATTG